GAAATTTTGAGACAAGTGCACAAAAGAAAATAAAAACACATGTGCGCAGTGTTGGGTAAGTTACTTTAAATTAGTAACTTAGTTACATTAGTAGTTATTTCTATCAAAAGTTACTTGTTCCTTTCTCGTTACTTCTAGTAACTAGTTACTAGAAACTAACTTTGGTTTTACTCAGAATTCTCTTATTAATGTGTTGCTTCCCTAACTGGATGCCAGTCTTCTATCTTGCTTACATGTTAGCACTATCCTGCCACAAGTGCACTGTGCCACCTAATGGCTTGAACCTAAAATGGCAGTGTAGTAGTGCGAGTGCAAGTTAATGATGAAATGAATGAAACTAAATTAGAAATTAACAGTGTTTGTTTTATGTGTCACTTTTTCTCTGTCTGTTTTAATCTATTTATATTGTTTCAAACCTCTATAAATGCAAACACATCATTTTGGGGTTGATGCAGCAGTGTTATAAATCTAATCATTGTACGTAGTATCACTAGGAAGAAGCAGTCGATCACAAAACACCACATAGTGTGTTAAAACATTTGAAAAGTACATTTATTTTTGCCATTGAAATGGGTAGAAAGTTTACTTCTAGCAGTGCCAACATTAAACTGTGGCTCAGACCATTTAGGAGCTGTAGGTATCAAAATAGTGCAAAAATGGTTCAACATAAACACAGTGAGGTTTGTCCATTCTTTGTAAACTTAACTGAAAACAGCTGAACTGCACCAACTGGAGACCTCATGTTCAGTAATGATGGGCAAACTTAAAAGTATTTTCAGCCTCATAAACAGTTAATATTTAACCAAAATAATATTTTCTCCAGTCAGGCCATGTAGATAAATAAAATATGATGGTAGATTAAGTGCTTCAGTGGTCTAAGATTCTAGCCTACATCACAGCGTCACGTGCGCTTTTTACGTCCAACACGGAAACTGCAGTCGTGGTGCTTTCGGTTGTACTCAGAACTCGGAAATTCTGCCTTCCGAGTAGGAAGATGTAGGTAACTCCAGACTGCAGATGAGCTGCATATGTGTTTAGTAGTGATTTGTTATTATAGAGGGCTAGCAAAACAACCGTTTTCGAGGGCGTCGCCATATTGGAATCCCGACTTCTCGGACGAGGTTAACCAGAACGCTGTTTACTCGAGTGAGACATCATTCCCAGGTCCGTGTTCCGATTTCCGAGGTAAGTCGAACGCAACACACGAAGTAACGAATAACGACCCTATCTAATTCCCAGTAACGATAAACGTGTTCCTGATTTTGGCTTAATAACTAGTTACCGTGCTCGTTACCACAATAATAAAGTAGTTACTGTAACGCGTTACTTAATAACGCGTTAGTCCCTACATTGGCAACGGGTAATCATTATAAAATATGTATTTTTTTTGGAAATGGTGCAGACCTTTTGTGCTCAAAGCTGATGAGGGACCACTGGATGTGGAAGACATTGTCACTGACCACATTTGGTTTGCTGTCTTAGACCAGGAACTTGAAGTTGTCCATGGTTTCCAGATCAGGTCTGATAGGAATCAGTCAAAAATAACCACACGGGTTCAAAATGGGTTAAAAATAATGTTTTAAATATGCCAAAAATGTTACAAAGCACTGCAGCAGGTTTTTAAATCAGCAGGAGAACCTAATTCACACGATGGTCTTTAAAGACAATTAGTGCTGATTTTTATGCTTGCACACAATTTTACTGTGAGGAGCAGGACACCCAAAAAAGACTGAATCTTAATTTTGCGAATAATGAATTTCTTGGAAAATATCAAATATGAAAGTTATTATTGGCTCTGGGTTTCTGCTCATTTACACCTTCCACATAAGGTTGTCGAAAAGGAAACACTTAAATGAGAGCCCCACTGCTTCAAAATTGGCCAAATGACCTTCAGGAAGCTCAGCATAAACACCACAGAGATGAAGACAGTACTAAATTATGCATTAATATCCAGAATAGTAATATCTCAAACATATTTTTAGATTGAGTACAAGCATTTGGCAGAATATGGGAGCAAATGCTCACAGTCGGGATGATGTTTACAATTTGAACAAGAAATCTCATCTTTTTATTCATATTGCCTCCATCTCTCGCGCTCAGGCTAAGATTTATTTCAGTTATTGGAAAAGTATTATCATTAAGAAAATGATGTTTACAAGCTTCAAATTAAGCATGCGACACATCAAAGTGGCTGTTTACACTTGCTCTCTGCAGCCTGGAGGACCAACATTTTACAACAGCAGGCGGACACTGATCCTCATCTGCAACCTTGAGGTGAACATACGCAGGCTCATAATGAGAGAACTGCTGATTTAAACTGAAAATTAGCTGAGTAAACGTGCGCAACAGAAAACACAGCAGATACATGGTGTCATTCAGGAGAAATGATCAGGGCGAAGAATGTGGGGTCAAGCTTTTGGCCCTCGTTCTCACTGTGAAGGCCAAATGTAAAGGAGTCTTGTTTTCCCCTCCTCTACCTTCCAACAGGCACAGAGTTTTATCTGCAGCAGCATGAAGGATGCAGGATGAACAGAAGAGGGCACTGATGCAACACTAAACTGGATGCAGTGAAGGAAACGGGTGGCTCTCTATACACTGATAGAGAAGTCTTTGTGGTTTATGTCATCCACTGAGGGAGTTTAGAAGGAAAGCCCAGGAGCAGTGGTTTCCAATTTGTGAGTCCCAACAGCTCTGAGGCATAGCTGATCCTCAGGCATTAAAAAGTCCTTCAAATGAAACTATCTCAGAATAGAAAAAAGATTGAACTTGAAGGGAGTCAGAAAGCCATGGCTTCATTTTAAGGAGTCAGTGTTTGTTCTCCACAACCAACAAACCAGCAAAAAATGAGAACTCAAATTCAGGAATCAGCTTCAAAATATCTATAGTGGCGAACCTTAACATCACTTTTGGGTGTTATTCTCTAAAATTCTACAATAAGGCAGTAGAAAATAAATCTTCAAGTTTTTACTGAGAATCACAGATTTATGGGATTGACAGTGTTGGATTATCCTTTAAACCAGCTGCTTAGTTTAGCCAGCTTAGGTAATGATCTCAAAATAAACATTCAGAGGTCCAGCTCTTTTCTAAACCTTATTTGTCCCGTCGGACACGGTGAAGGAGAAACGGTCGGCATGTTTCTCTTCTTCACTGGTGTCGACATACTGGATGCTGCGTGAAGGTGCTGATTCTAGTGCTTATAGAGACAAAAGAGAGAAAAGTAGTCGTTAAGCCCAAAACTTCCATTATGTTTGTTATTTGATCTTTCATATGAGATCGTTCGTATGAGATGGTTTTACACTGCTAAAAAAAATAGGTTATGCTTGATGATAACACAAAGTTAGTTATACTTAAGGGATATAAATCTGTCCAATTAAGAAGCAGAAACCACTGTGAGTCCATGAGGCTCATTAGTTTAATAATAAAGCGACAGCAGGTGCAAAACCACAAAACTCTGAAACAGGGAATGGCTTGGCAGACCGTTGTTCTCTCCTGATCCCTCCTGACAGATTTTTGTCTACCTTTGATTTTCTTTGTGTCCACTCCACCAATTCCGGTGGTCTCGGGCAAATGCCAGTTCAATAAAGTGAGAAATTTCAGAGATGAATTCTTCTGCGTCTCTTTCCGTTATACGTGTGATGTCTTATCCTTCGTATTTTGTTGTGACATGTGTTTGTAAGCCACCATGACATTTTCTGGCCACACACATTTCATCAAATTTACAAGGGGATAAAACTAAACTGAGACTAAAGTTAAACTGAAATAACAATGCTGCTCTTTACTCTGTGTTGCCTCTGAAGATCAAAACCCAGTGGGAAACATAATCAGCATCACTCAGCGTGAAACTAAAGGTGAATGTCTTGAAAACAAGAACCAGATTTTTTTTTGCTTTCCAGGAGTCCTGTTATCCTCGCTTATTGTGGATGCAAAGACCTGATACAGCCGTTTGTAAGACAACACATTTATGGTTATTCCTGACATACGAAGTGTGCAACAGACACATTACATAGTTATCTATGATGTGCGTTAATGAGGAAAAGACTTAAACTTAGAGCTTTTTATTGTCATTGTGCAGTTTCTTGCACAGCGAAATTGGGTGGCTTGACCACAAAGGTGCAAAAGTAAGAAGAAGAGAAACCAATATACAACAGAGGGGGAAAATAAATAAATAAAATAAAATAAATAAAATAAAAAGCAATGTATATGTATACATATATGTGAGTGAAACTATATACATGGTGTATGTGTAAGAAATATTGAAACAGAAACATTATGGGTCTGTATACAAGGGCAGTTATATAATGTAATAAATAAATAAGGGTGGAGGGGCTATGGTCATTTAGGGTGGAGATGGTAGTTCTACTGGGACCAAGATATTGCACATGAGCCAAAATATTTTGCACAGAACATGGAAAGACTGAGATATTGAACAGAAATTCTTCTGAATTTCCACTTTCATTGATTTCCAGCTGTGATATTTCATTTTCCAACATTTGCACATCGGAAAGTTTAACAAACCCATAATACTATCATATAAATTGCAATATTAAACAAAACAAGGAGTCAAAATGAAAAACAAACAAAACATGGTTTCAAATCCTGATTT